CCTCCTTGCAGTACGGCCTTGTTACACCGCCCCCTGCATCACCAGACCCCTCTGGCGCTTAAAGTGACATTCGGCGCCAAGTTCATTAATTGATAGGATTTCTTATCGGAAACCTCTCTATCTGATGAGATCGTCACGCCACCTGCCCGAGTAGTAACCAGTTTCACGCAACTAGCTTGCGCATCTTTTTCTCAAACTCGCAGTACGTAGATCTGACAGATTTTTGCTTGCCCGGTACACGTACGGCATGGCGCTTATTTGCCGTAGACAATCACCCCCGGATTGACCACGCTGGAATTCCATGGAAACATAGCCCCCGACCGACGTACACCTCACTTCGTTGATATAGAACCGTCGATGAAAATTTTTTTGGGCTTGCAGTGCACAGTCTTGTCGTAGTAGGTTCAATTCTATTGCCTCGTACGTCATGCACATATACTGTGCAGTCCACAATTAGGTCGTACGTGGTTGGACAACATTGTATACGTGGCTAGTTTGCTGCAGCAGCGCCGAGCATCTTGACACCAAGATCTATTTCAAATGGCCCGCCCAGGCTATGACTCCCCGACCACAAGCTTGATTTCGAGATAAGACTTACGTTACTTGGTGGCTTCTATCAATGCGGCCAAAAACGCGACGCGATTCGGAATTTCAAAGTCACTGACCAGAATGACTCGACGCGACCATTTTTAATCAAGCGGTACCGCCCAAAGCCACCTCTGAACCGCTAAATTGACAGTGATTAGCATCAATAACAAAAAATTATGGCACCTCCGAAGGTCGGAAACTCCAAACCAAGAACTTTTATGACTCCAATCCACAGAAGCTCGACGTGAACGTACTTATCCCGATGCTTCCCTTGGACCCTCATCCATCCGGATCATATCACGACGGTAACTCACATAGGCACCATCAGATAGTTACCGCACAGTAGGGTGCTGAGCTGCTCTCGGAGGTGACGACATCACAACAAGACAACGTATGGGTCCATTGAATATCTTCTCTCCTGTTCATAATAGCTAAACAGTAATAAATATACGGCTTCTTATAGTCTCTGCGCTCGTACGTCTCAGTTCATCTACGTCTCTTGCACGTAGTTACCTATATGCAACGAAAAAATCAGATCGTCCGAACTGTTTTGATGTAAAGAAAACGCACCAGGAAACACCCCTTGTTGACCATTCAACCTCCCCGTCCACCAATCTTCTGCACTTCCCGTCCTTTCTACGATTTCTATTCGATCACCAACGTTGAACGACAGATCACCTTCAGCCTGAGCAGCGAAATCATACAAGGCAACTACATATTGCACTGCCGGTTTCGCAGCCGGCTTAGGCTTCAGAGGGGGTGGAGGAGGAGGCGCGCGCTTCGTAGCAGCTACGACAGAGGCAGAATAAGGTGGTGGTGGAGCAGCTACAGCAGCGGGGGGAGGGGGTGGAGGGGATTTCTTAAATGACGACGCGGAAGGGGCTGTGTAATGCGGGGCTGGCGCCTTTGTGGAACTACCGTAAGATGAGGTCGTCGCACTTGACGAGTTACGCGTTAAGCCGCCTCCTGCCGCGCGATTCTGTTGCACAAGTTTCGCTGCACAGCGTCAGCCCATCGGGAAAGGGAAGATCAAAGGATCCCACTTACAAACTGAGATAATCCTCTTAGTGATATTCATTTCTTCGATCTGACTCCATGCGTCTGTTCGGTTCTGCTCGTAATCGTCGCAGATTTGTTGACCAGGAACATTGGAGATGTCGTATTTAGCTGTCTCTGCAAAATTATTCATCTTTTCGAGAATTAGGTAGAAGATGTTAAGCCTAGACAACATTAGCCTGACCCCGTAACGAGTTTCATTTATCACGTACTGCATATAGAAGAATGAATGGAAGAGGGGATCAATGAATTGGGTCGAGAGCGTCATGAAACGCGGTAGATCAGTCTTCAACGCATTGTTGATAAAGTCATACTCGTTTGTCGCCAACTCAAAGTCTTGTTCCAACTGTTGCCAGTCAGCGAGGTGTTTCATGATGCACTTGAAGATGTGATCTTGCCTTGAATAAATTCTTCTCATCACTCAGAGATTTCTCCTTCTTGTCGCGTAATTTAGTCAGGGAATTGTTGAAGCGGTCGTAGTCCATCAGCTAAAAGAATCATGAGGATTGCATCTCCAAGGACCTTGAGAACAGACACACACCTTATGGTCTCGTTTCGTGATGCTCTTCCTGATCAGCTTCATTATCGACTGCAGCTCCTTCGCTGGACCCGTTATTCTACTCTCGATGAGCTCAAGCTCGGGTCCGACACTCGCCCGTAGCTCTTCCATCGCGGTCTCATACTTGTCGACATTACGAATAGTCTGCCCAGCTTCCGGATGTTTACCAATAAGATCGTACTCGCCCGAGATGGGATGCATGAGGACCGAAAAGTGCGTTGCATAGCCCGCCCCACAGGTAAAGAGACCTATTCCTGCTCAGTACCACATCGCGTGACGGCAGCGGGCAAAAAGCACTCACCATTGACAGCATCAAGGAAAGACTTGACATCCTTAATAAACTTCTCACTAGCCTTTTCCATTTCCGCAAAATGACGTTGATAGTCATCGAATTCAGGATCGTTGGACTCTGCATTGACTTCGTCACAGCTTCGGGCAACGGACCCGTCGGAGACTTACTTTTGGACATGCCAACTTTGCTGGTCACCATGAACGGCGTCCTGCAAGACAATCTGAGTGCATTTCCCGGGAATCGCTGGGTGTGGGCTCACCGCTTGACCGCCTTGGTGAAGCCCTTCATGCTGGGCGAGGGAGAGAGGTAGATGTTACTGTGAAATCGATTCCAATTACGCACGGAAGCACAGCCGAGACCTGATCGTACCGATTTTCCCACGGTTGTTGTTTAGTCATATCGCATTATGCGAGGGGAAGCTTGAAGAGACGCTCGAGAACTGATCTAATGTTATCTTGCTTTGATACAAAAAATAGTGCGGTGTATCCTTCCACACTGTTCATCTTACGTTGTCAAAGTGGCGATGCTAGCTAGGCATCTTCCTGAGGAGGTGACTTTTGGCCGACACCCCAGATGCCGCCGGTCAACGTATTAAAAGTAAGCATCACCACTGAAGAAGGTCACCCGACTAAATGTTTAAATGGATGAAAAAATTGGCGCTTGAATCTATTGAAATCGCTACTATTAGAAGGCCTCGGCCTCGGCAGTTCACCGTCAGTATCATCCAGGGCTTCCTCCAGGACACAGCTCACCTTCTCCAACCCGCAAAATTTTCTTCCTCCAAAATTACCGCCCTGATGGATACCAGGTAGCTTCTTGTGTCCTAACAACACAGCCGTCAACCACGGAGGCGCTATTCCATTCTCACTCATGGTGACGCCCAAATATAGTGAAAGAATTCAAAAATACCTGAAATTGCGAGGAATACGGGTGAGAAGCGATGGGTCTAATTTTATGCATTGTACAAACTGCGGATGGGCAAACCAATGCGACAAAAGTTAACAGCACAGTAATTAATGGCATCGCAAATGATGAGACTAGCTACAGTATCCAAATAATGCTACAACGTCAATACTTCAAAGCAGACTTAATTGAATATCCTTCCAACCCCCCCACAGACCGGACAATTATCCTCTAGAAACAGAAACGAAATCAGCCCACTTCCTTCACACCGCCAACACAGTCTCCCGCCTATTCGAGGATCACCCGTGGGATACACAATAGCGCCTCGAGGGGCCCGACCTAGCCCATTCATCGGCGTAATTAGCGGTCTCGGCGGTGGAGGTCGGAACCCATGGTGCGGCGTAATATATGAAGGTTGGTATCCCGGATTGGGAGGTGGAGGACGAGAGCTGGATGCCGACTGGGGGCTATGGTACGAAGGAAGCGGGCGCTGGAAATTTCCAGTCGTCCTAGATTCCGGTGAAAAATCCGTATACATGAGCGCCCCAGAGAAGGGCTTGGAATACCTGGCCCAGCACTTCCGACACGGATGCGAAGGATCATTATGTTTGTATCCAGTATTTCTACCTAAAAAAACCAGTTAGATAACTCCAGCATTCAACATGGCATTCCCTACATTTATCACAATGGTATCCAGTTGGATACACGAGGAGACGGTTATTATTTAGAAGAGGATGGCCTGGAACCGGCGTAGTCGTTGGACGGCCGTTCTGCGAGCCGGCAGACGGAGGACCAGAGTGAGGTGACGATGGACCCGAGCGAGGTGGTGGACCTGAAGGAGGCTCATATCCGCCTGCAGAAACGGGGCTGCGTCGTGGAGGTAGAGGTGGGACATCATTATTGGGTGGAGGACCGGGTGGAGGCGCGAATCTGCCGCCAGCAGATGACGGTCGAGGCGGAAGTGATGGAGTAGAGAGGCTACTATTGTATGTTTGTTGTCCAGGATATCCCGACCAACCGGGACGAGAATAGCTGCCATTGTTACCAGCACCGGTCAGCTGTGATACTAACTGACCAGTTAACTGTTGCAGTAGCGAAGGTGGCCGGCCAGTATGATGATTGTGCGAGCTCGAGGTCGACCAGCCTGCAGAAGTCGGTTGCAGGAGGACAGGCTCAGGCTGCGGCTGCGGTGGTGGATGTGGACGTGGTGGTTGCTGAAACGGTCTTGCTGGACCAAACTCCACCGTGCTTTCTCCCTGATAAACATTCGGTCCCGGTGTATACGCAGGCGGTAACTCCTCTGTAAGGCCTGTGGGGTCTGACCGCAGCTCTTCGCTTGGTTGGGAAGACGGACTAGCGCTCGAGTTATTTGGGTTTACTGCGCTTGTAGCAGGTGATGAAGTGGATGCAGCGGAAGGACTAGAAGGTTCAGGATGTGAACGACTGGGCTCAGATTTCGGTGGTGGCGACGGAGGTGGCGACGACGACGGCTGCAAGCGTGCAGGATCTCGAAATGGATTGTGCGATGACATGACGGCGAAGGTAGAAGGCACTGGAACTCAGCGTTATTAAGGGGCCATTACTCCATCGGCCCGACGGACCACGCTTTCATCCTGATCAATTCTGCTGAGCAACTACTGAGAAGGCAATGCCCAAACGACGGATAATTCTGGATAATTCTGGCAACATCGGAGCAACTTGAAATATCGATAAGTACATGGACACAGGTTATTTGACGGCTAAGCAGTGCAGCAGCTCTTTCGAATTCAACTTTACTGTATTTACTCTCATTCTGATTTCATTGGAACCACAGTAGTCCTTCTTAGGTTGAGGATGCTTCAAGATTTCCTTGAGCGACACATGGATACGCCCGATACAAATCCCAAGTCCTGACTTCTTCGACGTCTGGTGAGGACAAGGCACGTTTAAATGCCCCGTCCTCTAATACGCTAGCAGAAGTCACCTCTAAAATGAATACATGAGTTCTCACAATTATCAACAAAAATATGGCGTGCTTACCATGAATAATCAGGTATTTGGGTACTTTCTGTGCCTCCGGTCCTTCCGGTACACCAACACCGGACTTGAGGCTGTCGATGCAGAGATAAGCCCTTGTCCTAATCCAGCCATCCACACTGGACAACTTTCCCTTAACTTCCGCTGTCCACCCATCAATCTGACCATCCTCCAAGGTAATCCCGTAAGTTACAATGACTTTCGTCGGGTCCGTAGACTTGAACGACGAAGCCTTCTGGGACTCTCCAGAATCGTATGATAGCTCATACGTCCGACGGTCCAGAAGTTCGAGCCGCTTGACCAAGTCTGCTTCTCGAGGACTACGAGTGACTCTCAAGCGAGTGTAGCTCTCGTGTTGGAATATAGCAGTGTCGTCGATATCATAGACAGCTAACCACCCAGGGAGCTTTCCATCGGATGCACTGAATCTTGCTCCTGTGAGAAATGACGGGAGATGATTAAGGCGTAGCGGGACATGCTCGTTGTTGTACCAATCTGAAAAGCCATGTAAGCGCATGTTCATTCAATATTGTGGTAACCGGAACCCTACCTTGGAATTCTTCCAGAGTTACTTGCTTTCCTGGCTCAGAGAATACTGCTAAGAACCCAGGCGCCATGGTGGTTTTGAATAATCCGGTGAATCTCACATGCTCGTTCTGTGAGTAGGAGCGGAATTACTTTCCTCCGTCTACCAAAAAGGTATCAGATACCACGCTGTGCGGTCCGATCCTCCGGAACTTGTCCTTGAACTTCCGACGAGTCGACAGACATCACCCATTGCATTCACGATGACTACTAGTCGTCCACAAAATTTCAAGCCTGGATTGCTCATTATTGACATGCAGAATGATTTCTGCCCTCCTGTAAGCTGTATCTCATCTGTCGAAGGCTTCATTCATCCCCTTGTCTTAGGATGGCTCTCTTGCTGTTACAGACGGGCGCTCCATCATACCAATAATTAAAAAGCTCGCAACTTTACCCGCATTTGTGTCTAAGGTCGCAACGAAAGATTTCCACCCACCCAACCACGTTTCTTTTGCCTCCAATCACACGGCGCCTAACAACGTACCCTTCACTTCATTCGCCACAATCACAAATCCCTACAACCCAAGCGAGTCATACCAGACCCGTTTGTGGCCGGATCACTGTGTACAAGGCACCGTAGGCTCAGAGCTCGTCGAGGGCATGGACCCAGCAGCTAACAACATAGACGCCGTGATCGAAAAAAGGCGTAGATAGCCGTGTGGAGATTGTACTCCGCCTTCTACGACCCGTTCACGTCCCCAAGGATCTGTGACAGTGGGTTATCTGATTTTCTGAAGAAGTCTGGAGTGAACTGGGTTTATGTCGTGGGTTTGGCCCTCGATTATTGCGTCCGTGCTAGCGCTTTGGACGCTCGAAAGGAGGGCTTCGAAGTTGTTCTCGTTAGAGATGGCACAAAAGCAGTTGACGGATCTGAAGAGAACGTTCACAAAGTGGAAGAAGAACTCCGTCAAGCGGGTATCAGGGTTGTCGATATGGCATCCCCTGAAGTCCAATGGCTATCTACGAGCAGTTAATCACAATCCTTTATAAGTAATCATCATTTTCAGTGTAAAAATATGCTTCGAGAATACAGAATTGTTCAATACAACAAATGGTTAATTACTCGCTTGACTTTGGCGTCGGTCTGCCTATTGGCATTCTACTGGTGCAAGTCCCTCACTCATCATCATCACCATAATCCGAATCCTCAAAATAATCATCACCAGTTTGGACCAGCTTGCGTCGAGACCGTCACTGCAGGCGCTTGCTGTTCAATATCATTCGGGGTCAAAATCCGATCCTGGATCATCTCCATCGTTATTGGCCGATGGAGACACCATATGGCGAGGTGGTTCTCGTAGCTCACGCTCCTCATCGATGGCCGGTCCCTTCGACCAATGTCGTCCAAGCGTCAAATATCCTCCTACCCAAGGGAATCAGAAAGCTAAGTAATGCTCAGTGTCGTCGTTACCTAGAATCGTTCCCAGCCGCACAGTCTTAACCTGCCCATCGAGGGATCAATCCCAGTTTCGTACAGATCAGATGTACCGTCTTGAGCTGCTGTTCGTCGACCTTCAGGTGTTTGAGCGCCATCTCTTTCACGTCTACAATATAAACCGGGTGTGCTGAGCGAGTTTCGATTGATGAAGTGAGGAGTCTTTGAGACCATTACCCCACGTC